TGTTCTAAACTGTAGGAATTGGAAGTCGAATGCCGATCCCGAAATCCGGGACGAGAAGTGGGTCTGGTGAGAATAATGGACGCCGGATGGTAGGGTCGAACTGCTGGCGATTGCGGAGCGGCTCCAGCGCCATCCCTAGGGAAGGCTGAGGGCCGGAGGAAGGTGTGTGTGTGTGAAAGGCGAAGCCCCCAAAGGGCCTCCCCCCACCCCACCCCACCCCACCCTCCCGCCGCGGCCCTGGGCGCCCCTTTTCCCCGCTTGGAGGTGCCAAATCGCGTTACCGCCGTCCGGCGTCTGGAGCCCCTCCGGGTGAGGCAGCTGCCTTCGCCATCGATTATGTGCCAGGGCGCTTCAGCTAGGCGACACCGGAGCCGTCCCGGCAGCTCGGCCTGAAACAAGGAGGCCGCCCGGAGAAGCGTCCCAACTTCCCTGACGGGCCTGGGAGCTGATCGCTCGGCGCTTAATTCGGAGCGACAACGCTGAGGCGGTCACGAGCGTGGCCCCAGGACCCCTGGCTTGGCCTTCGGAGGCCGCCAGACGGGAGAGGCCGCAGAGGGCAAGCGGCTCTTAGGCGGAGGAGGAGGAGGAGGAGGAGGACGCCCCCGACCCCGTTGCCTTCTCCCACCGGGTTGTGGTATAACAGTAACAGAGTCGGAAGGGACCTTGGAGGTCATCTAGTCCAACCCCCGGCTCACGCAGGAGACCTGTACTGGGGATTCGAACCGCCGAATTGCCGGCCTTTCTGCTCGAGAAGCTCAGTGTCTTAGCCACTGAGTCGCCACATGGAAACGCCAGTGGGCAGAATAGCCTGACGTGGGTTGTCTGGTGTCCAGGTGGGAAGGCTCACTTGAAAAAAACCGCCAGTGTGTGTTATGGGTGTGTGTTTGTGGAGGATGGGTGTGTGGCTTTCTAGGCTCCTCTAGCTATTAGCTTTGATGCCCCCTAATCCTCTTCAGTCCATAAAAAAGGAGACTTCTGCTCAGCTCATTCATTCATTCATTCATTCATTCATTCATTCATTCATTCATTCATTCATTCATTTATTCATTTATTTATTTATTTATTTATTTATTTATTTATTTATTTTTAAATTTGTATACCGCCCTTCTCCCTGAGGACTCAGGGTGGTGAACAGCCAAGTAAAAGCATAAACTACAAACATTAAAATACAATTAAAAACATATATATATATATATATAAATTTGGCCCCATGATTAAAAACAATAACAAACAATTAAAAACATTTTAAAAAGTTGGGAAGATTTTGGTCCTCTTCCTTTCTCTTCGGTTTGACTCTGGTCATACAAAGGACTGGTCTACAGATCAATGATGGCCCATATTGGCTAGTAATTGCCCCCCCCCCCCCCCCCCCCCCTCCGGATATCATCAGGATACAGAACAGAAAAACCAAGATGGCAACCATGACAGTTCAGGCAAAGATCTGTCTGGGGGTTTGTTTGTTTGTTTGTTTGTTTGTTTTTGTAGGTGCCTTGTGTAACTCAGCAAAAGATCAGGTCCGTTGACCACATCTTCCTACAGTTTTGGTCGCCAAGATATTTTTTAAAAAAGATGTTGAGACTCTAGAAAGAGGGCAAAGGAGAGCAACAAAGATAATTAGGAGACTGGAGGCTAAAACATGAGAAGAACGGTTGCAGGAATTGGGTATGTCTAGTTTAATGAAAAGAAGGACTAGGAATAACATGATAGCAGTGTTCCAATATCTCAGGGTTGCCACAAAGAAGAGGGGGGGGGGGTTCAACCAATTCTCCAAAGCACCTAAAGGCAGGACAAGAAGCAATGGATGGAAACTGATCAAGGAGAGAAGCAACCTAAAACTAAAGAGAAATTATCTGACAGTGAGAACAATTAATCAATGGAAAGGCTTGCCTTCAGAAGTTGTGGGTGCTCCAACACTGGAGGATTTCAAGAAGAGATTGGACAAACATTTGTCTGAAATGGTATAAAGTTGAGCAGGGGGTTGGACTAGAAGACCTCCAAGGTCCCTTCCAATTTTTTATTCTGAGTGGTACGAAACAGAGTACATTGAAAGGCATTAACTGAACTGTACTGGCAGATAGCACTTCAGAATTTAGCAACTTGGTGATCTCCAAAACTATTAAACTAGAATTCCCATGAACTTCAAGATTTACCGGTAGCTGTAACTCAATGAGGCAATCCGTTTAGTAGGCTTAAATGCAATTTCAGGGAAGTTACCTCAGAGAAAAACCTATAAATCAGGGGCGAAATCCAGCAGTTTCTGACAGGTTCTGGAGAACTGGTAGCAGAAATTTTGAGTAGTTCAGAAAACTGGCAAATACCACCTCTGGCTGTCCCCAGAGTGGGGTGGGAATGGGGATTTTGCAGTATCCTTCCCCTGGAGCGGGGTGGGAATGGAGATTTTGCAGTATCCTTCCCCTGCCACACTCATCAAGCCACACCACGCCCACCAAGCCACACCCACAAAACCGGTAGTAAAAAAATTTGAATTTCACCACTGCTATAAATCATTAAGTAGGAAGAAGTTACCTCTTGAGAAAGAAGCTTCATAACTGATGGATAACTTTTGTGTGGATGTTTGGGTGGTTTAGGGGTGGGGAATTTGTGGTGGGTGGATGGGGCGTGTTTGGGGATTGTTATGTGTGTTGGACCTGGTCTTTGGGTGTTAAGTGAATTTCGTTATATACTGTGTATACATGTACAATGACAATAAAGTTATTATTATTATATTATAACTGGTGACTTCTGCTTCAAGTTCACCAATAGAATCTGGAGAGGTAAGCAAGGAAACCAGTCAGCCTGGTCAAGAACTAAAAGCCAGGAAAGGCTCAAAATACTTATCCCAAAGGTGTTTTTTCAAGAGGCAACTGGACTTTCTGGTTTTTCTTTGAAGATGTTTTGCTTCTCATCCAAGAAGCTTCTTCAGCTCTGACTGGATGGTGGGGAATGGAAGGATGACTGAGAAGTCATAATACTGATGTACCTTCAAGTTTGTGATCCCCAAGTGTGCTGGGACTGCAGCTCTCAGAATATTTGTAATGTAGGCAGGCACAATATTCATCACCCTGAAATTTAGTTGCCTTGCACATCCAGAACAAGGGTAACAACATACGACATGTAGTCCTTGATTTACAATCCCAAAGGTGCTTTTTCAAAAATGCAACTGGACTTTGTGTTTCCTTGAAGATGTTTCGCTTCTCATCCAAGAAGGGTCTTCCATTCTGACAGAATGGTGGAGGATGGAAGGATTTCTATTCCTTGCGGTCATTTGATCATTAGTACTCTTTCACTTCAAAGGGGCCTCCAGGACCCTCAGAAAGAGTGCTAATGACCAGATGAATATAAACCCATCCTCCACCATTCTGTCAGAACGGAAGAACCCTCTCGGATGAGAAGCGAAATGTCTTCAAGGAAACACAAAGTCCAGTTGCCTTTTGAAAAAGCACCTTTGGGACAACCATGATGTGGATGAGTGAGAACCGCCATAGACACTTGACTTACAACCTTTCATTTAGTGACCAAAGTTACAGCAGAACTGAAATAAGTGACTTATTGCTTTTCACACCTAGAACCATTGCAGCATTCTCCATGGTTATGTGATCAAAATTCAGATGATTGGCAATTGATTCATATTTATGACGATTGCAGTGTCCCGGGGTCATGTAATCACCATTTGCAACCTTATGTTGTGGCCCGTCAGCGGCCTGTGCAGCTAGTAGCTGATTCCGACAGCGAGGAGGCTGGTGTGGTGCTGTGCCAGCAGCCTGTGCAGTTGGCACTCGAATCAGACAATGAGGAGGCTGGAGAAGATGTGGTGCCAGAGGCGGGGATTCAGCCAGGGCCTTCAGAACCTCCAGAAGCTCCCTTAAGTGATGAGGAAGAAGAGGAGGAGCCTCTTCTCAATGCACGAGTGCACAGAGCTGCCAAAAGGCAGGAGTGGCTCCTCAGGAGGAGGTCTCCTCGAGAGTAAAGCTTGGGGCTAATTGGCCACTCCCCTAGCCTATTTAAGGAAAGGCGACGACTGAGGCAATTTGCAGGAAACAACTTTGTTCACTCTCCTTCGTCTCTTGATCTTAGTTCTCTTATCAGTTTCCTGCAAATTGTTTCTGGGCTTTCTGCCAATCATAGTTAGATTACGATTATTTATTCTTTGGATTCTTGTAGGCTGTTAAGAAAGTTAATTAACAGCCTTTGTTTGAAAAAGACTGATTTAATTTAGTAAACTAAGGTTTGTACAGACTTTGTATGTGCTGGGTTCTTTGGGGTCCATAGCTGGGGCAGAACACCTTATGACAGTCCATGCCAATGAGGAAGCCAGGTTTCCTTCGCAACTGTGTTACTTACTGGATAATGGCAGTGATTCCCTTAACAACGGTGGCAAGAGAGGTTGTAAAATGGGGCCCAATTCAACTTAACCACTGCCTCGCTTAGCAAGCAGAAATTTTGGGATCAGTTGCGGTCGTAAGTCGAGGACTGCCTGTATTACTAATACTCTTTGTCTATTAAGCCATACCAAGCTCTGTTTTTCTTCCTACTTTACCCTGTCATAAGCTGTCTCCATTGTATGTTACAAGTCAACAAGAGATAGGGCGGTGGGAAGCATTGAACGACTCGCCCTAATGCAAAATGCAAGTTGCAGCTTGTAGCTTCCTCCTCCTCTCTTCTCCACAATGGTGGGAGACCCTTAACTCCTGAAGTTATTCTCTTTTTTTTTTCCCCCAGGAAAAAAATGATTTTAATTAAGGTTGATGAGAAAGCCAGATCTCTGGGACTCCTTATGGAAGCCTTCCAAGCAATGCATCCTCCCTTTTTCACCTCCCACCCTCCCTGCTTCTTTCTGGCCATGGTTTCGTTCCTTCTTGTTAATGTCTGAAAACAAGAAAGGGTGCTGAATTGGGGTGGGGGGGGTGGGGGTGGGGACGCTGTTATTGATTATTTGTCACCTTTCATTTGCCTGTTTCAGTCTCTTCCAACCTCCCTCCCCTCCCCAATTTTACTTACAGGCATTTGAGTTTAAAGGCAGCTCGGAAGATGGAAGCGGGGGAGATGCTGTAATCGTCTACTGGCCTGCTTCGTCTTACCCAGGATAGATGAAGGGTAAGGAAAAAACAAATAGATGGGGGAGAAAAGAGAAAGAGGGAGAGATGGTTGTCAGTCACAATCAGCCCTGGGATGTTGTGAAACACACTTGAGGGTGTTTCTATAAGAGACCCTTAATTCAGGCTCAGTTCCTAACGATTGGTTCTGCAGTTTTCTTTGCAGCCATTGTCGAAGTTGGCTGATGGTGGGTTTTTTTTCCCGAGATCTAGAGATAGAAGAAATAGGGGAGATCCAGGAGAAGGGATCAAAGAAATGAAAATACAGGCGGTCTTCAATTTACAACCCTTCACTTAGTGACCATTCAAAGTTACAATGGCACTGAAAAAGGGAGCTACGACCGTTTTTCACACATAGGACCATTGCGGCATCCACACGGTCTTGTGATTTGCCTTCAGATGCTTGGCAATTGACTCTTAAGTGTGAAAAAATGGTCAAAAGACACTTATTTCAGTGGCGTTGTAGCTTTGAACAGTCGTTAAGCGAACTGGGGTATGTCAGTGGTGGGATTCAACCGGTGTAAAAACCAGTTCGCTGAGCCCATGTGCAATGCGTTTGAAAACAGCTCTAAAACTTAACTTCTACTGCAGCCCTGGTGAGTAAAACAGCTGAGGCTCGGCAATCCGCTCTGCCACCCCTATCAGCTGGGCTTCAAACAAAGGAAATATAGGTCGGTATAGCGCAGGGGCAGGCAGGCGGGCCCAGCTGATTGTCTGAGCGAACTGGTTGGCTCTCAGCTGATTGTCGGAGCTACCGGTTCACCTGAACTGGTCCGAACTGGCTGAATCCCACCCCTGGTGGAAGTCAAGGAGTACCTGTACTGTGTGCCTACAAGGAACAAGGGGCCTGATATAAAAATAAATAAAATTGTCACCAGAATGCCTCCTGTAGAAGCTTTAGTGAAACTCATGTTTAACATCTGGTCGAATGGAAGCATTTTAAAGTTCCATGGATTTCCAGTGAAATATTTACCTCGTTCACATGAGGACATAAATTGTTTTTGCTCTGGCTGAATCATGCAGACTGAACATGAACTTCTGGAAATACCTGGGTAGGCTTACAGCACAATCCTACAATAGTCTATTGAGAGGAAAACTCCCAGTTTACTGAGCTCACTTGCAGATAAGGGGGTATCAGAGTGCAGTCAAAATGGTATGATATGCAATTGCTAGCTAGGGAGTAGATTATCTTTGGTCCCTGGAAGACAGTAAGTTGGTTGAGCGAAGAAATTTTGGGCCATTAATTAACCAATTAATTAATGAGACAATCCAAATGTGAATTGAGCCTAGATTTCTATCAGGCTATTAGTTTTTCAGTTGCGACTCAAAAAAAAAAAGAGAAGGAGAGAGACAGAGGAGGGAAGGAAGGAAGGAAAGAAGGAAGGAGGGAAGGAAGGAAGGAAAGAGGAAGAAAGAAAGAAAGAAAGAAAGAAGAAAGAAAAAGAGGAAAGAAGGAAGGAAGAAAGAAGAAAGAAAGAAAAAGAGAGAAAGTTTTTCCTGCAGTTTTTGCATTATTTGGAAAACTGTAGTAGAATCTTTTGGTTAGTACAGTCACGGAAGGAGCAGTGAGGAGAAAATAGAGATTCTCTCTCACATATTTTCTCCTCCTTTTCTTCCTCCTCTTTCTTCAAGATCATCTGAAGTGTTAGTACCACTTGATAATGACTTGGAAAAACCACACTTGAAATATTGCGTCCAGTTTTGGTCACCACAATATAACCAAGATGCTGATATTCTAGAAAGAGTGCAGAGAAAAGCAACAAAGATGATTAGGGGGCTGAAGGGTAAAACATATAAAGCAGGAATTGGGTATGTCTAGTTTAATGAAAAGAAGGACTAGGGGTGACAGGATAGCCGTGTTCCAATATCTCAGGGGCTGCCACAAAGAAGAGGGAATCAAGCTATTCTCCAAAGCACCTGAAGGCAGGACAAGAAGCAATGGATGGAAACTAATCAAGGAGAGAAGCAACCTAGATAGAACTAAGAAGGAATTTCCTGACAGTGAGGGCAATTAATCAGTAGAACAACTTGCCTCCAGAAGTTGTGAATGCTCCAACACTGGAAATTTTTAAGAAGAGATTGAATAACCATTTGTCTTAAGTGGTATATTATCTCCTGCTTGAGCAGGGGGTTGGACTAGAAGACCTCCGATGTCCCTTCCAACTCTGTTACTCTGTTTAGGATGACTGAAGCAGATGATGTTTCTCATAAATAATTAGGTTTTCAACTTATTTTATTTATTTTTATTTATTTGTTCAACTTGTATGCCACCTTTCTCCAAAGACTCAAGACGGCTTACAATGCATTTAAAAACCATATATAAAACATTAAAAGTTAAACCATTAAAAACAATTAAAACCCATTCACACCATTCATGGCCGGATCTCGCCAAATCGCAGCAGTGAGATCAACGGCCCCAGGCCTGCCAGAAAAGCCAGATCTTCACCGCTTTTTGGAAGGCCAATAGGGTGGGGATGGTCCGGATCTCAGGAGGTAACTGGTTCCAGAGAGCTGGGGCAGCCACAGAGAAGGCCCTCCCCCGCGGGCCCGCCAGCCGGCATTGTTTAGCTGACGGGACTCTGAGGAGACCAACTCTGTGAGATCTTACCGGTCGCTGGGAGCTATGCGGTAGAAGGCGGTCTCGAAGATACCCTGGCCCTGAGCCATGTAGGGCTTTAAAGGTAATAACCAACACCTTGAATTGTGACCGGAGACCAATAGGGAGCCAGTGCAGCTCGTGGAGAATTGGTGTAATGTGGGTGTACCTTGGTGCACCCACGACAGCTCTCGCGGCTGCGTTCTGGACCAACTGTAATCTCCGAACACTTTTCAAGGGTAGCCCCATGTAGAGCACGTTGCAATAATAACTTACACAAATACATATCCTATTTCCTCGAAAATAAGACCCAACCGGAAAATAAGCCCTAGCATTTTTCAGGATGTTCGTAATATAAGCCCTACTCAAAAAATAAGCCCCAGTTAAGCTAGTCAGCAGACGGAGGCATTTAGTACTGTATTTCCCCCCAAATAAGACCTAATAGGAAAATAAGCCATAATGCGTTTTTTGGAGCAAAAATTAATATAAGACCCAATCTTATTTTGGGGGAAATACGGTACATGTATAAATTTCCTTCTCTACTGTATGGTGTAGATAAGCAGACAAACATACCTTAATAACAACCAAGTTATGAATATGACTCAGTTGAATAGCACCAAATTTCTAAATTATAGCACTTAGAAGAAAATCCCCTTTTATTTAACTGGAATGAATTACAATCCATCCCCCCCCACCCCCAGCCTGGGTCAAAGAAAGATGCTTCTCTGAATCTAATGAAAACTTCTTCAGCTTTGTTGTGTCAAAAGTCAATGGAAGCCCATCAGCTGCCTATCGTCTCCCTTCCGCCCAATAATCTACCTCCTCTTTCTGCTTCTTCTCCAGAGATGGTTTTTCATTTGCCTCTTAATGTTGGCTCTTGAGGAAGAGGGTGCCTACTTGTGCAAGAGGTCCAAGTGCCCGTAATAGCTTTGAGAACCGGCCAAGAGCCTGTCTTGTACAACCCTCCAGCTGATGTACTAAATTTCGTAGCACTCTAAACTAGAGACAAATGAACTCCAAGAGGTCTGTTAGTAGGGTTCTAATTAGCAAGAGATGGGGAGAAAACATCAATTGGATGTATCCTTGCCAGAATGTCCCATCAAAAGCCATAGTTTACTGTATGAGCATCAATCATCATCATCGTCGTCGTCATCATTCAGTGGAGGTTATACATAGGATTGGGTAATATTATGCCCACCTTGTTGTGATGTGTAATACTATGGGCAATACTATGCCCACATGAGCCCTGGTGGCACAGTAATCAAAGTAAGTGGTGGAATTAAAATGTTTTTACTACCGGTTCTGTGGGCGTGGCTTGGTGGGCATGACGTGGCTTGGTGGGTGTGGCTTGGTGGGCATGGCAGGGGATGATACTGCAAAATCTCCATTCCCTCCCCACTCCAGGGGAAGGATACTGCAAAATCCCCATTCTCTCCCCACTCCAGGGGAAGGATACTGCAAAATCCCCATTCCCTCCCCACTCCAGGGGAAGGATACTACAAAATCCCCATTCTCTCCCCGCTCCAGGGGAAGGATACTGCAAAATCCCCATTCCCTCCCCGCTCCAGGGGAAGGATACTGCAAAATCCCCATTCCCTCCCCACTCCAGGGGAAGGATACTGCAAAATCTACATTCCCACCCCACTCTGGGGCTAGCCATAGGTGGTATTTGCCAGTTCTCTGAACTACTCAAAATTTCCGCTACCGTTTGTCCAGAACTTTCAGAACCTGCTGAATAGCACCTCTGGTCAAAGTGCAGTATTGCAGGCTGACTCTGCCCACTGCCAGGAGTTCGATCCTGACCGACTCAAGGTTGACTCAGCCTTCTATCCTTCCGAGATCGGTAAAATGAGGACTCAGATTATTATTGGGGGCAATATGCTGACATTGTAAACCGCTTAGAGAAGGCTGTAAAGCACTGTAAAGCGGTATATAAATCTTAAGTGCTATTGCTATTGTTAAAGGGAAAAGCTGATTCTCCCCCCCAAGAGATTAAGCCTTTGAATTGAAAAAGCATGAAACATTCATTTCCCCCCCCCCAACCCTCTACGGCAGAATAGCCTGTATATTGAAATCACAGCAAGGCACTTCATAAAATCATGCCTTGTATGTATGTACGCTTTCACCAGCTGTTGTGATGTTAAAATGTGAGGTCTTTGAATGCTTTGGCTTCTATTCTCATCAGGAAAAGTTCACACCTTAGTTTGAAAAATGAGCAGAGGTGCTGGACCAACGTACAAGCGATAAAGCCTTTAGTATATTCTTTATATAAGCTCTGGGTGATTATTGATTCCTTCCATTCTTTCTGTGAAAAAGTATATCTTTCCAGCAATTTAACATTGCTTCTTGGCGAGTGACAGCTGGGAGGGGCACGGGCCTGCATTTACCTGGGTAAAGCAGGTAAG